TTATAGAATCATAGAAATGTCAGGCTAGAAGGGACCTCGAGAGGTCATCAAGTCCAGCCCCCTGCACTGAGGCAGTAGCAGGTAAACCTAGACCATCCCTGACAGGACTTTGTCCAACCTGTTCTTAAAAACCGCCCATGACGGGGACTCCAGTTCTCTTGGAAGCCTTAACTACACTTAAGAGTTAGAAAGTTTTCCCTAATATCTAACCTAAATCTCCCTTGCTGCAAATTAAGCCCATTACTTCTTGTTCTACCTTCAACGGAGATGGAGAACAGATTCCCCGTTCTCTTCATGATAGCCCTTAACATATTTGAAGACATCAGATCCCACCGCAGTTTTCTTTTCTCAAGACTAAACATGCTCAGATTTTTTTAGTCTTTCCTCCTAGGCTGGCTTTTCTAAATCGTTTATCATTTTTGTTATTCAGGTCAGTCTAGACCACTGATACTCAGACCTCATTGGTCCAGGAGCCAAATTAGCAATCAACAGTACCCAACAGAGCTGCAGCAGTGTGAATTCAATGGTTCATTTGTGTATGTTTTACTATTTTTATGTATTATTCTCAAAGCAAAATGATTGACCAAGTATTATTTTATCAACTACAACTGGTTAACAACATAGGAAAAGCCTCCTGATTGGTTAATCACTTAGATTTAATTATTAACTAGCCACCCAGTGTCTTAATATCACGTGCTGCAAAGAGGCTCCCAAGCCTCAGTCTGAGCATCGCTGGTTCTAGATTATCATACTGGTCCCTTCTAGTCTTAAATTGACAGCCAATATTTTCTCAAGTGAGTAGCGATTTGGGGCACTTCTATTTCCGGGTTCTCAATTTGAGGTGCCTGAGAGGAGCCCGGATTTTCAGGGAGATGGGGAAGGGAGGGTTCTGCACTTTCTGAAAATTAGGGCTCTTTTTAAGGTGTCTAAGGTGAGGCTTCCCAAAAATGGAGGCACCCCACATTACCAGTCACGTTTGATTTCTGTATTACAACTGTGCTGCAACATTTAATGAAGATTGTGTTTCTTTTGCAGTGGGATTTAGATCTTGGGCCTGGACCACACTTAAAACTTCTGTCAACTGACCTAGGTTTTACGTGTAGATGCAGGCAGGCGGATGGACGAATATTTCCATCGACCACTGCTACGCTGACGGAAAAACCCCTGCCGTGGCTTGAGGTTGTGTCTATACTATGGAGGCTATAGCAGCATAGCTGTGACGGTGCTGCAGCCCCCTAGTGCGGACATGACCTTGGTCATAAAAATGTATTCACAATATAGCCCGCTTCCCCACCAGGGAGTCATTAATTACAGACCAAACATAGGCTCATTCTCTGCCCCTACCTCCAATAACTTTACCCTCTGAGTTAGCTGTAGGATGGATCATCCTTCCATTATCCCATCCCTTCCAACAGACATACACCACGCAGTCCACGTGCCCCCTTTCACCAAATTTCCTTTGCATTCAGTGTGTTAGAACCACCATTATCTAAACGGCTTGTGAATAAGCTCAGTCTGGCTTTCTCCTTTCCCTTTTAAATTATTCAACGTCAATGCTTCAAGCAAACGTACGTCTGTCTCTTTCTTGAACAGCTGCTTCTGGAGGCCTGTGAAATTCATCAATGAGCAGAGTGAGGAATGGAGAAATAAATGGTCAGGATTACCCAAAAGATTCACACTAATAATACTGTTATAGAACTAGGTGAACCAGAGAGCCATTCTGCTCTCAGTTCCAGCAGTGCAAAGCTGTAATCATTCAATCGAAGTCAGCAGAGTTAGCCCCTCTTTACACAACCCTGTATCTAAGGATACAATTTGGCCTTTCATTGCCACAAGACAGACCAATTCCACTGAGCTCACTCTAACACAACACAGATAATTTAAACCCTTCAGCCTTTTGTGTCACCTATGTGAGGATGCAGGCACGCTGCAGCACTTTAAAAAAAAAAAATCACTAAAGACATGGGAGTGGGTGGAACAATCCAAGCAGATTTCTGTACACAAAGAAGAGTTGACAGGTAGATCTGCAGTCAAGGTGAAATGGGAAGCAAAACATTTTGAAGTGCCTGTGTGTCTTTGACAAACACTCAGAAGCAGAGATGCAACTATCCCCCTTTCAACAAATACTACCAGTCAAAACCAACAGGTGCTCTTGCCTACAGAACCCGATTGTGAACAGTCATACAAAGAGCAGTACCAGTGCCCCTTATAGACTTCTCCTGTGACACAGCTGACAGAGGTTAAATTGCAGGTACTAAACAGCCAGATGTACAGAAGAGCTCATCTCCCATGTAAGCACCAAAGTAAGTGGCCAGGCATTCAGTAGGCCTTTGTGCGTTGAGTGCCAAATATTCTGAAAATTTGGCCTCATAACTCTGGCCTAGTCAGATCCCCAGCCAAGGGGAGTCGAGTCTTAACTGAAGGCACTTAGCACATCGCTTGTGTCAGTTGTGACACATCCACATGGCAGCTGACTGGGCAGAAAACATGGGTGACTTCCTGGTTTAGTTCTGATTTCACAAACACACACACACACACACACTAAAAGAATACTCCACAACATTGACATTAAGCTGCGTGAGCCATCGGAAATCCACCCACCCAATTTAACAGCCACCATGATTAAGGTGCAGATTTAGAGCTGCTGTGCCGGATTTCCGTATTACAACTGTGCTGACTGAAGTAGCAACTAGGTGACTGAAGTAGCAAACAATGTCTGGAAGTGCCAGAAATAGAAGATGAGAAAGACTGGAGAACATATCAAGATACCATCTGGTTAGGTTGCAAGAGGTTAAACAACATCAGTCTGCCTGGCTGGGGATTAATTTCTTATTTTAAAATCAGAGCTTGATTTCAACGTAATAACCAGCAATTTTCAGTGATTGAACATAAAGTCTAGAGGGTGTGTAGTTGGCAGGGAGATGTATTTGCAGGGGATTATGCTTTAGCATACAGCACCATCAAGTGAGAAATTAGGTCCCACGACGCGACGGGAGATTCAGAGATGCCTTTGCACAAACCAAAACAAGCCTCCTGTGACAGAGAATAGTCACGTTGCTTAATGCATGACTGAAAGGTGCTCGGATGCGACAGTGATGAGGGCGGTCTAAGAACACAGAGAATAGAATAGAATAGACTCCACAGCGTGAATTTCCTACTGCTTCCTCCCACCACCAATATACTTTTAGATTGAAAAAAGGGCAAGTGGTAGGTTTATACAATGCCTAGAACAACTGGGTCCCAACCTAGCTGGACCCTAGGCGTTAGCACAACAGTTTAATAATAATAAACCAAATGTTAGTCTCCTCTGCTACCTCCCAGAACGGAAGTTTATTCATTAAAGGCCCTCATAGGCCATACGAATCACTCATAGAAACCCTCCTGTATCCCAGCCTCTCTCCCCCCCAAAAATTTAAGCCCCAACCACACTAGGATAAGAACCAGTAGCAGTACCAATCGCATTTCCCTGAGCAGTGGCACAAGGGGCTGTCTGAGATTCAGTCCGCACACACTTGTCCCTTAGGGAGTTCATCGCTGTAAGGGCCTAACACGGCTCTCAAGCGTGCACACACACATAATCATCGCTGGCCAGGGAAGTAGTATTCCAATCTTGATAACTCCCACTAGTGCTGCAGCTTCAGCTTCTCCCGAGAGGCTCTAAAAGGGGACTTTGCAGCTCCCGGTTCCCCATCTTGAGGCTCCCATTGATTTCAGTATGTTTCGGATCAGCCCTGTTTATAGCCAGGAAGATAAACCATCCTCGCCCAGCAGGAGATCCCCTTGTGGGGACGGCGCTGAATAATTCAACGCACAGTACGGGCGGCTTGCTAGACCCTCCGGACTGAGCTGTGGGGCACGTTCTGGGATCGGGTGGGGAAGAGGGGTGCCAAGGTCAGCCTGTGCTGGGGGCGGGGCTTCCTAGAGCAGGCAACGCTTAGGAAAATTCTACTTCATTCTACGATCTAGGTGCGCGCAGCGAGACGGTCCCAATCTTAACCAGGGGGAATCAGCCACTCCCTGGCGTTCAGTGGGCTCTGTTGGACCAAGATCAGTGCTTCATTTGTGCCAGGGCCGAGCCCTGCAACTCTAGGCTCAGCAGTTCATAGCCCTGGCACCTCCGGCCTTGCTGCGTCAGTTACGAAAGTAAAAAACGATTCCATGAGCCCTGGTACTGCTTTCATTAGAAATTAAACCCTGACCAGGATGCAAGCTCCAAAATAGAGTCCCTTCCGCAAGAACACCCTGCCGGGAACCCCACCCCCATCCTGTTCAAACTTGGGGCTATCTGCTTCAGTGCCTCAAATCTCGACTCAGCGCGCTCTGCAATGGTATTCCAGAGCTAGGCTTAACCACGGTATCCGCTAGGATTGTTCCACTGGACCCTGCGACCAGGGCACAGCTTTCTAACCAACACAATCAAGACCCAAAGTATCAAGTGCCTGAGCACCATTCTCACAAGCGACCTAGGTGTCTCAGAGCTGAAGTCCCGCTGACTTTCAATAGGACAGGTCAAGATTTTCAAAAGTGACGAGTAACTCCGGGTGCCTCAATTGCGGGGAGGAGTGCCACTCCCAACACCTGGAGGGGGCCCAAATTTTCAGAAAGTGCTATGGCCCGACTCTCTGAAAAATCAGGCCCCTTTAAGGTACCTCCAAGTTGGCTACCCAAAGCCACTAGTGACCCTGGAAACCCTTGGCCATGAGATCCCAGGTCACTTTGGAAAACAAGATTTAGGTGCTTTTATAATTTTACCTTAAGTCTGGTACTTTGCAATTCAGAATATTTGTCAGTTTCCAAAACCCATAGGAGTCTTTCCCCGACTCCCAACGGTCTTGGATTAAGCCCTTAACATAAAGAACCCCTTTAAGCTAGACCCTATGTTCTTTAATAAAGAAGTGGCAACACTCCTGCCTATTTTGTCTCCGGTTATTCTTTTGGTACCTTTCAAAATCCCTCATCCACCCCTGCAAGCCCCCCAGCAATCCTCTCAACATTTGATCTTCTTTAGAAAGGCCTTTATTTGACTTTATAGCAAACGAAACACTAGTTTAAATCAAGTGTACCTGGTACACTGTTACAGCAATGAAGTGGCAACAAGTTTAGACGCGACCTACCCTCTCCTTTCCTCCTTCCTCCGGGCTGATCCACTGATTTAACACTGCCACAGGTGGGTTAGTGGGCATTTTACGCTCAAACATGATTTGGACGATAAAAACAAGAGCTAAACATGGATGAAATGTTACAGAAGTGAAAAAAAAAAGAGTCTCTTAATGTTATCGGTCTAGGAGAATTAAGATTTCATGTTAAACACTGAAGAATCAGCCATTAAAACAGTTATGCACAGTTAAGTCTGTTTACCTGAAGGATGCCTTAAAGTGGTCCATATGATACAAGTCAGTTAAGGATCCTATATGAATTACTGTCCAGATGGGTTTAAAAAAAAAAATTTCCAAACAACCCGTTTTGGACAAACCTGGGAACATCGGCACATGGATAAAAACTAGAAAAATCAGGTCATGAGACAAAAATGTTCTGTGCATGCCTGCTCCCCAGAATCCTGGATCACTGCATCTCCCGGCCCAAAATCACCCCTCACAGAAAAGCCATGGGCAAGACATTTTGATCCAAAGAGATTCTTCACCCTCTTTTATCTTATAAATTCTCACTCCCACCCCCGTAAGTAACCTAGAACACTGTGTGTATTTCACTTGAATTCAAGAGAAGAGGTAAACACTGATAGATTCAATTTCACCCACTCTGTTTTAGGGGAGCGGAATGGGGCAAGGGAGATGTGTCAAAATCCTTGTTTGCATCCCTTAGCAGCTGCTCCCATCTAATCAAATACGTTACCAAGCGGGAGTATTCCCCCCTGCCCCAAACTTCTCCATGACATTTTATCTAGGAACACTGAGGGTAAGGTGGGGGGAATTCCATCCCAATGTTGAACGCTGCCTGACAGCGCTCAGGACCCCAGTGAGCCTGTAGAGATGGAAATGCTCCCTTCCTCACACACTTTGAAAGAACCACGTTAATTAAGGTTTCACAAGTATAAAAATCAAACCACTCACTCAAAGACTCTGAATTCAGGACTAAAGAGGCAATTCTGATGGAGATGCGATTCGCTCGGAGATGCACGTTTACGTTTTGGAAAGGGACAGCACTCGTTGCAGTAATATCATGGGTTGGGTTCCCTCCCCTATATTTCCTGCTACTCTTTTTTTGTTGGTTTTAATTATAATACAATTTACAACTGTAGTAAGAATACTACGGCCACAGCCCCCGGGAAGCCCTCAAGCTTCAGAAAGTCCATCGATCGTGTAACTGGCTTTCGCTGCTAAAGCTGTTACTTGCTGAGGCCTCCGGGTTCTGTGTTTGCCGAGTGGAATCCTCGCCATTTAAGCTCTTTCTGCAGACTGGACACGTGTCGTGCTGAAACAGAAACAGGAATGTACAGTGAAGGCCCATCTCCAGGACCTTCGTAGCCAGTTAGCAACCGCTGCTTATAGAGCAACTTTCCGTCCCACAAGCGTTTTATGTGCAGTACTTGGAGGAATTCCCGTCACCTACCATCAAAATGCAGCCACCTCTGGGTTAGCACACAGCAGCTGGATTTAGCAATGCCAAGCAATGTTATACCTAGGCTTGGCAGGATTCAATTTTAAATCGGTAGCTGTTGATAAATGTTGATTTCAACTGACACACTTAAGTGGTCGCTGGCCCTGCTGGGAGCCCTCTGCAGCCCTGCTGTCACAAGAGTGACCAAGCGGGGCCATGACAGCAGAGCTGCAGCGGTCTCCCCAAGCTGCCTCAGGACTGGCAGAGCAGGGTGGAGCAGACACGCCAGGACTGCAAGCAGGACAACGAGCACCCAGCTGCAGGTGGGAGGTGGCCCCGCTGCTGAATGGCTCCTGTGGCAGTGCAGGGAGCCCCTTTACGGCACGGCTTCAGAGATCTGTCACCAGCCCACAGCTGTGCAGGGAGCCCTGTGCAGCTCCATTGTTCCAGCCCGGCTCGCTCACTAACCAGCCAGGAGTGTGGGAGCAGACTCAGGGCACGATCTGTTCAGCAGCTGGGGGTTCGTCTTCCTCCTTACAGTCCTGGGTGGGGATCTCTGCTGTGCCTGGCCAGGAAGATTGCAGCCTTCCCCACACGTTGTGCCCTGGTCTCTCGAGGCCCTTGGCAGTCCAGGACCTCCCTCCTCCCCACCGCTGTCAGTGCTGCCCAAACCCTAACCCCAACCCTATCCCCAAAATTATCAAAATAAAAACAGCTAAAAATAGAAAAAAATCCTAATAAAAAATATAAAAATTATCAAATTATAAAAAAAAATAAAAATCAAATTCTGCCAATCCTAGTTATCCAGTAGTTTAGAAAAGTGGGGAAAGACCTCAGCATCCAGTTGAAACGGCAGGAGATGGGGTGGGGGGGAATTTAGACCTTTGCAAAGTGCTTTTTGGAGATCTATGGATGAAAAGCGCTACGCAAGAGCTAGGGATTCTAACTATTCCATAAGTAGAATGTGGTGACCCACAGCAGAATGTGGAGAGAGCACACGGGTTAACGCTCCTACTCTTGTGAATAGCGCTGTTGAGTCTCAGGGAAAAGAAGCGATGAGGGCCTTATCTGAAAGACCCAAACAATATGCTGGGGCAAGGTTTCAACAGACTCAGAGGAAAGAGCATCCCCTTCTAACCAACACCATTTCATTCCGCCCTGGCGGTCTCCCAGCCAAGAGCTAATCAAATACACCCCTGCTTAGCTCAGAGCTGTTGAAATCACAGTCTAACAGGACTGCCAGTTGTTTGGCCAATGTAATGTAACTACTGACCAGTAACTAGCATCATCTTTGTTTGCTATTTTGATAATTGATTACAAAGGCCTGATGAATGTATCTTAAATTAACTGGTGACACATTTCGCACAGTGCAAGAATGACGACATGGTAGAAATGTAGTCAGACATTCCTAAAGAGAAGGGGTTTTTAATAAAAGTTACTCATGCTTTTTAAAAGCAGATTATACATAACTATCTTGTAATCAAGTGCTTTAACAACTTGGCTACATAGGAAAGAAGAGTGGACGAACAGTGACAATGGAAAGATTTCACTGGAAAACATGGCAGCACTGAATCAACATTTGCTACCAATGCAGTATTTGAAGCTCTCTTCGACTGGGGCTTCGAGCCCTGAATAAATGGAAAAACTAACGCTGACGAAGGAAGGCAACGCTGCCACATTTAGCAAGGAAGGATGGTGGAGTGGTTAAAGGCATTAGCTTTGGACTCAGCAAAGCCAGTTTCAGTTCCCCATTCTGCCACAGCCTCCCTGTGTGACTTTAGGCAAATGCCTCAGAGTGTCGTGAGGCTAAATATACTAAAGACTGTGAGGCACTCTGATACTACGGTAAGGGGCCCCCAAGCACTAAAACAGATACATCGATGATACAAAGAAGGGCTGAATTCACAGATCAATCTAAAGCCAAATGGCGGGAATACTTGCCTTCAAGTGCTTCACTGAGATTAATAAAGGCTTCCCAGCTTGCAGTGTGGGGATTAATATGAGAATTGAAAGGTGGATAAGGAACTGGTTAAAGGGGAGATTACAACGGATCATACTGAAAGGTGAACCATCAGGCTGGAGGGAGGTTACAAGTGGCGTTCCTCAGGGATCGGTCTGGGGACCAATCTTACTTAACATTTTTATTACTGACCTTGGCACAAAAATAAAATTTGCAGATGACACAAAGTTGGAAGGTCTAGCCAAGATGCAGGAGGGCCGGAATATCCTACAAGATGATCTGGACGACCTTGTAAACTGGAGTAATAGAAATGGGATGAAATTTAATAGTGCAAAGCGCAAGGTCATGCATTTAGGGACTAAGAAGAAAAAGTTTTGCTATAGGCTGAGGACTTATCAGTTGGAAGAAACAGAGGAGGCGAAAGACCTGGGTGTATTGGTTGATCACAGGATGACTAGGAGCCAGCAATGTGATGTGGCTGTGAAAAGGGCTACTGCAGTCCTAGGATGCATCAGGTGAGGTATTTCCGGTAGAGACAGGGAAGCGTTAGTACCATTAAACAAGGCCCCAAGGAGAGCTCATCTGGAATACTGTGTGCAGTTCTGGTCTCCCATGTTTAAGAAAGATCAATTCAAACTGGAACAGCTGCAAAGAAGGGAGACTAGGATGATCCAAGGAATGGAAAACCTGCCTTATGAGAGGAGACTCAAAGAGCTTCGCTTGTTTAGCCTGACGAAAAGAAGGGTGAGGGGAGATACGATTGCTCTCTATAAATACATCAGAGACATAAATACCAAGGAGGGAGGGGAGCTATTTAAGTTAAGACCAATGTTGACACAAGAACAAATGGATATAGACCAGCCATCAACAAGTTTAGGCTTGAACTTAGACGAAGGTTTCTAACCATCAGAGGAATGAAGTTCTGGAACAGCCTTCCAAGGGAAGCAGTGGGGGAAGAAGGGGGGGAAACCTAACTGGCTTCAAGACTGAGCTTGATAAGTGCATGGCGGGGATGGTAGGAGGAGACTGCATACAATGGCATGCAGCCAATCTACGAATGCTAGCAGCAACGATCTCCAATGGCTGGTGATAGGACACTAGATGGGGAGAACTCTGAGTTACTGCAGAGAATTCTTTCCCAGGTGTCTGGCTGGTGGGTCTTGCCCACATGCTCAGGCTCTAACCAATTGTCAGATTTGGGGTCGGGAAGAAAATTCCCCTTGGGTCAAACTGGCAGAGACCCTGGGGGGGGTTTCACCTTCCTCTGCAGCATGGGGGCCGGGTCACTTGCAGGTTTAAATTAGTGTAAATGGTGGTTTCTCTGTAACTTGAAGTCTTTAAATCATGGTTTGAGGGCTTCAGTGACTCAGCCAGAGGTTAGGGGTCTATAACAGGAGTGGGTGGGTGAGGTTCTGTGGCCTGCGACGTGCAGGAGGTCAGACTAGATGATCATGACAGTCCCTTCTGACCTTAAAGTTGATGAGGTAAGTTCTCTCCATTTGGCAAGTGGGAAAACTGAAGCAGAAAGGTGCAGGGAGTAAGCGCTGCTCACAAAGGAACTTAGGCCTAAGACAGGCTTCCTTCTACAGGATCTTCTTAGGGTTGGATTAGAGGTGGTGGAGACAGATATTCTGTGCATTAGACAGGCCCTGTGCTGCTTTGTGAGCTTCCCTCACTCTCTGCCTCTGCACCCTCAGGCTTGCCAGGAGGAGTGAAGGAAGGTCAATCAACATGATTCATTCATTCCATGATATCAGGATGATAATAAGGGGGGGGAGGAGGGGAGGAGGGAGGAAGAGAGGGGGAGTTTTCAAGTGGACACTTCCCACTAGGACAGAGACCCCAGCTTGTTTCATATGTAACAGCCAACTGTCAGATGGTACAAGTTGGGACTACTGCTAACACCAGCAGGATCTGACCTGGCGACTTAGAGATAAAAAGCATCATAACTCCATTAGTAATTTCTCCAAGTCTCCACTTGGCTTCAGACTGAAGGACAGCGTTAGAACAGATGCATTTCAAAGGCTGGATGATTAATATTATGGTGTCATGAAATTAAATGAAAGAGCCTTGGATTTAAGTGGCAGGTCATGTGGCCAACGCACTACACGCATTAGCGTGTAGCTCAGTAGCTCAGGCCTGAGGTACGAGACAGCGAGGAGTAGTCAGTATTAGCACAGTGTGTGTATCTCTCTCTCTCACACATGCACTTACCAGTTCTAACCATGGCACAATGCAGTTGCTGTGGAAGAAGTGATTGCACGGTAACTGTCGGACCTGCTCCGTTACTGTATAGTCTTCTTTACACACAGGACACTCCAAACCTGTATCTGCAGGACAGATTCATGCAGGGGATGGGTTAGAATGCTGGACACAGCAGAGCCCTGTTTGCACAGCCTTAATCCACACGGGGCCCAATTACAACAGCCCAACCCATACCAAAATGGGGCACCCAGTGCCGCATTCACCTACTCATCTCAGTTGATTTCTCCCAGAGGGATGCAGACAGGAGGCCTTCAGCTGGAGAATAGTGATCAGCTGTTGAAGAGGTGCAAGGCTGAGTTTGCAGACGTCAGGAAATGCTGGAGTATGGATTGTTTTTTTTGTTTAGGTCTCCCGTGCATGGCACAATAAGGAGATACATTTTATGCAGCGTGCCCTACCCAGTGCTGAAGGGCGACTGACAGTAATTCAGAACAGATACTGGACACCCGCCACTGATAAACAGAGAATAAATGTGGGTATGGGGATTCAGCATAGGAAAGGGGAGAGGAAAGGTCCTATAGACGGGGAGGAGTAGTTTAGAACTAGGGAAGGAGGGTCTGAGCTGGACAGTGGTTTCTAGTTCTGTCAATGAGATTATTCCTCACAGGAGTGAAGTTACACAGTGTTCACAGGATCGAGCCCTAGGGCAGTAAATTTCTCATTTCTAAAATGCCTTTGCCATTATTTTATTGACGTTTTTATGGCCTTGGCTAGTCCATTTTCAAATGTTACTTTTATTATAACTAAAAAAAAAAGTTAACAGTTACTGTTTCCTGATGGCTGGACTCCAGTACATACATGGGAAGGGAGAACATTCAGCTACTTTAATGGCTTACAGTCCGTTTTATATTTGATGTTGGGGCCACAATGGACTTTTTTACAGTTAATACTCTGCAAAGTGCTATATAGGGGCTTGGGGACTATACAGCCTATAGTGGATGCTAACATTTACCAGGCTGGACACAAAAGATGACCGATAATGAAAACCAAACTATGGGCATTTTACTTGTCTATTAATAAACTCACTCGCGTAGGACAGGGAGACCACCACCAACACAAGAACTAGGGGTCACCCAACGAAATTAAAACAAACATAAGAAAGTACTTCTTCACCCAACGCACAGTCAACCTGTGGAACTCATTACCAGGGGATGTTGTAAGGGCCAAAACTATAACAGAGTTAAAAAAAAGAACAAGATAAGTTCATGGAGGATAGGTCCACCAATGGCTATTAGCCAAAATGGTCAAGGATGCAACTCCAGGCTCTGAGTGTCCCTAGCCTCTGCCAAAAGCTGAGAGCGGATGATGGGATGGATCACTCACAATTACTTGTTCTCTTAATTCCCTCTGAAGCACCTGGCATTGACCACTGTGAGAAGACAGGATACTGGGCTAGATGGACCGCTGATCTGACCCAGTTATGGCCGTTATGTTAATTTTGCAATGCTGCTATAGAATTAGGATTAGTGATTCTTCCTCCCCAGGAAAAGAGCGTGTTGGCTACGCAGCAATCCCAGTTTGTACACGGAGAGCTGCTTTCCCGTCACCGCCAGTACTACACTGACACTGCAATACATTTCCTAGCGCGTATCCTTTGCCAGCAGAGACACTGAAACGGCCACATTAATTCCCAACTCCGTTGCCAGGTAGCACAACAGATGCTCAGCTAGCTCACAGACACAGGGCAAACTCTGCTGTTGCTTTGCAGGAGATATTACAATATGGAGATACACGCTCCTCTTCATTCTCCATAAATGAGAATAAAACTCGTGCATATAAAAAGATCCAGACAAAAACAGATACCATGGAAACAGATTTTTTTTTTGGTAAATGAAACAGTGCGTCTTCAAATGATTTTAGTTTCAGGGAACACATTAGCTTATAGGGGAAAAAAGAATCCAGACTGCATCTTTGTGTCACACACGTCTGCAAACACACTAAAAAAAAAAAAATTAAAAAAAACCCAAACCTTGCTGAGCCAACCGTGAGCACTCAAGAAACACACACAATTCTTTGCTGTCAGTTATGTCAAAGGAACCTGTGATCTTTACACCCACTTTTTAAAGAGGATTTAGGAGCAGTTCAGTAGGAATCTGTTCAGAGTTGTATTTACCAGCCATAGCTAAGAAAGGAGAAGCAACATGCAACCCCCCCTTGTATTTATCTGATAAGCAGAAGGAGGTAGCAAGAAACATAAACAGAAGGAGGTAAGTTAAATGTAAAGCAGCAACAGCTCAAATAAACAAAAGGTGTGTTTCTGATGACTGGATAAATGCAACATACCACATGCACTATGCATGCCACGGTCAGTCCGAAGCCTTGACTTTACCAACTAATGCCTGCTACTCATTCAATTCAGACCACTTTAGCTTTTGGGAGGGCAATTGAGACAAGGGATCAAAGCAGACCCACCTCCAGAGTCAGGGTAGCCCGAGTTGTCAGCAGCATTTGAGAGCAGAACCTCCAGAGCTAAAAATCACAACCCTTCATTGCTTGAGCTGAGTGACTCATCTCAATGGTGGACCAGATGTTAAAGCGTGCACACAACACACAACTGAATGGGAGGTAGCAGGCAGTGGTGGAGGCAGAGAGTCTAATCATTAACGTAGGGCATAGGGAAGCTTAAGGGAAAAGTCAGAAAAGCTTTAGGAACCTATGGATGAGCACTAGTATGGTCCTATCAATGCATCCAAGTGGTAGGAGACACACAGGAGGACATCAAGCATTACCAAAACACGGCAGGAAAGACCAGAGATATTGGATTTAACCCACCGACTTGTTCCTGAGTTACTGTCACTGTTGGAAGAGAGGTGATCTTCTCTTTGTCAGCTGGGGGCGGTCCTGTGTTTTCCAACTGTCCTAAAAGCTGTAAGGGGATGACAAACACACCATGTTTTAGAACCCAACACAGCCTTGTCTTGTGGAACACCTCTCATTCAAGCTGGGCCTCCACACTATTCCACCACATTAACCAGGCCAGCGAGGGAGCTGCACCATAACATGTAGGCGAGTCACTAGCTGCAGGACAGGGTGCTTTTCAGACGGCATCTGAAGTTAAATGGATGCAGGTAGGCTGCATCTGGCAGAAACTGCAGAGGAGAAGGCTCTCTGACCACAGCAGGGAGCCAGTGCTGTATGAGGAGGGTGGGGAGAAGAAAAACCAAGAGACAGGCTGGAGGGAATGGAGGATGATATTGGACTGAAAGGGAGTTGACAGAGGTGTCTCAGGATTGGCGAGTTGGAGAAGATCATTGTGCTGCCCAGTGTGGGTAAGTAGATACACAGCAGTGTTCTGCAAATGCTGGGACTTGGGCAGGCCATGGAGAGAGATTACAAGTGGTCCCACTCTAGCCCAGTAATGACACCGCAATAAAATGACTGAGGTGATATCGACCCCCTGAGCGGCACCCATCACTTGCCCCCTCCAGACATGGGACGGAGGCAGAGCCAAGAGGGGCTGTATGTCCACACAGAAACCGAACTGCTGCTAGTGGAATGGGGGGGGGGGTGATGTCAGCAAACGGCACTTGATGACCATAATGAGACCCTCTCCAAGCCCCCTCCCCTAGACATGTCGGATGTAGGCTCATTTGAGGAAGCTGTGACAAAGGAGAGCAAGATGCCTTTATGAGGCAGTTTGTAAAGCTGGGGCTAGCGGTGAATGATGACAGATGGCCTGCATGCCATGTTCACAAGATACCTGAGTGCGGACAACAGCAAGATTAGCTACCACAAAATGTTCTAGTTGCTCATCCTCTCCAAGACAGGGGAGTCATCACCCTCCAGAGGTTTGGCTCCACTCCCAAACCAGCCCCTTCTGTTCCCATATTAGCCAAAAAAGAACTGTGGGGTGGTGATGGGAAAGGAATTGACCCTATTCTCCTCCAGCCAAGATGCACAGACTCTAGCGGGCAGAAGGCAATTGGTAACTCAGAGCTTCAGAAGGCTCTGTAGCTCTCTAGACATAAAAGCTGCATCTGTCTGAACAGGGATCCATGCAGAGAACTGAAATCTTCAATGCAACACCAGGACTGTCTTTTTGTTGTACGTTTGTACAGAACCTAGCACAACCGGTACCTGGGCGCTATGGTCAGACAAATAAATGATAAGAAGTTAGCTTTGCTATCGATAAGGTTTGCAGGATTGTTGCAAGGAACTTGCAACCTTCCTAGCAGAGAGCTGCACAGCTTAGAATTTGCTCTCACGAAAGGCAAGGAGATGAAATAATATACACTTCAACATCAGCTTTCATATGAAGCCCTCAAAGAGCCTCTGCATTAGCAGTAAAGTAATTAAGCCTCAACGCTGCCCCATTCCCACAAGAAGATAGATATCCCTGTTTTATACAGGGGAAAACAAGGCATAAAAAGAAGAGACTCATCCAAAGTCACACCGCCAGTCAGCAGCAGAGCTGGGAACCCAGGTATCCTGACCCGTCCCTCCATCCTTTTTGCTAAGAACCAGCCCATCTTTACAAGCAGAGATGAAGCAAAAATGATCATACCCAATTCCTCCTCCTTTATGCTCGTCCCTATGAGTGTTCTAGATGATCATTAAAAATAGCTTAAAGCATTAGCAGCCTCACTGCTGACATAATCAGGATCCCCTTGTGCTAAGACGTTTGTGGTGATAACACTGAGAGCTGCATCAAATTACGAGATGCAACACTAGCAAAGTGTGTTCTCAGACTAGGTTCTGAGGAGCCTGAGGTGGGGCTGATGGTTGTGGAACTGTGGATCAGCTGCTCTCAAAATCATTAGCCTCAAAAATTATCTGAGGGCTGGAATTAATGCCTTACAGTGAGAGGCTAAGACTGTTTAGCTTATCAAGAAGGGACTTGATGATGGAATTTAAGTACCTTCATGGGTACGACACTAAAGGGCTCTAACAGGGAAAGGTGTAACAAGAACCAAAGCCAGACAAATTCAAATTAGAAATAAGGCCTAAATTTTTAACAGAGAGAGGGATTAACCATTGGAACAAACCACCAAGGGAAGTGGTGGATTCTTGATGTCTTCAAATCACAACTGGATGCCTTTCTGGAAGAGATGCTTTACTCAAACCAGTTACTGGGCTCCATACAGCAGTAACTGGCAGTCAAACTAGATGATCTAATCATAGAACCATAAATATGTAGGGCTGGAAGGAACATCAAGAAGTCATCAAGTCCAACCTCCCCTGATGAGGCAGGACCAAGTAAACCTAGACCATCCCTGACAGGTGTTTGTCCAACCTGTTCTTAAAAACCTCCCACAATGGGGATTATGCAACCTCCCCCTAAATCCCCTTAGAGTTAGAAAGTTTTTCATAATACCTAACCGAAATCTCCTTTGCTGCAGATTACACCCATTGCTGCTGCTTCTATCTTCAGTGGACACCGAACAATTGGTAACAGTCCTCTTTATAAACAGCCCATAACATATTTGAAGACTTACCAGGTGCCCCCACACTCTTCTTTTCTCAAGACTAAACGCCTTTCCTTATAGATCAGGAGTACTTGTGGCACCTTAGAGACTAACCAATTTATTTGAGCATAAGCTTTCGTGAGCTACAGCTCACTAAGCTGTAGCTCACGAAAGCTTATGCTCAAATAAATTGGTTAGTCTCTAAGGTGCCACAAGTACTCCTTTTCTTTTTGCGAATACAGACTAACACGGCTGTTACTCTGAAATTTATAGATCAGGTTTTCTAAACCTTTATCATTTTTGTCACTCTCCTCCAGACCCTCTCCAATTTGTTCACATCTTTCCTGAAACGTGGCACACAGAATTGGACATGGGTCTCCAGCCGAGGCCTCACCAGTGCCAAATAGAGCAGAACAATTACCTTCTGTGTCTTACATACAATATTTCTGTTAATACACTCCAGAATGATATTAGTCTTTTTTTGCAACTGCATCACCCTACTGACTCATATTCAATGTGTGATCCACTAGAACCCCCAAGTCCTTTTCAGCAGTACAACCACTTAGCCAGTTAGCCCCAATTTTGTAGTTATGCATTTTATTTTTCCTTCCTAAGTGAAGTACTTTGCACTTGTCTTTATTGATTTTCATCTTGTCGAACTCAGGCCAGTTCTCCAATTTGTCAGTGTCATCCTGCAGTGCGATCCTGTCCTCAAAAGTGGTTGCAACTCCTCCCAGAGCGGCGTCATCTGCAAATTTTATAATTTGTCATCTGCTCCACTCGGTTATCCAACGGTCCCTGCTGGCCTTAAAACCTATGAAAAAGGGATTATCTCTAGAAGGAAGTGAGAATGACAGGAGAAGGAAGTGAACGATAGAAAAATCTTACTGGCACAAATCAGGAAGTTTGGGCAGCATAACTAGGTCTCACCCCACATCAGCACACATGCAAATCTTACCTGGGTCACAATAGCATCAAGGCCGCTCTGTCCCCATGCATAGTCACCTGGATTTGAGTGCAGCATTCCACTCCTGCAGACAGGGGCAGACAGTTAAGGGAGCAATTTTGTCAAACTCCATACAGCTCAGAAATTTTCTTGCACTGAAATTCAACCAACCAACCACCAGCAGCGATCTTCGATTTATATAGCACATCCTCCTGTGAGATCTCAGAGATGAAGCCGTTCAGCTGGGTACAGATCCGCCAGCACAAGAGCCATCCCATGGTGGAGTGCCATTTATCCCATAGACACAACAGATTTGCAGCACGGCACGTGTTTATTGCAACGATCTGAACCAAGGTGGTGGTGCTAAATGCTGCTCGCTACTCACCAGGAAAAAGGGTGCTGTGAGCCTGGCATTGCTGAGTTTGCAAAAAAGCCTGCAAAGATCTGCTGTATTATTCTGTTATGAAGAAAGGGTAAAAAAACAACAAAAAACAAAAAAAACACAAAACACAAATTGAGCATACAGGCTAGGACAAAAACAGGCAAGCAACAACATTTTTGTGAGAGAATAACAGCAGCAAACCACTAGCTCCTCCCAAAATCAACTATGGGTCCCTCCCTCAGAAAGCCACACTTTGGTGGAGTGTTTGTTGTACATCTTTCTTCCAAGGGTAAGCCAAGACTGCAATGCAAATTTCTCCGATATGGTGTGAGGGGATGGGAAGGGAAAGCAAAGGGTTGAGATTTCCAGGGCACTGACTGTTTTCCCGACACGGATAGCTCTCATTGCTGTGTCAACGGAGCAAAAAGGGGGAGGGAGTGGAGAGTGAAAAATATTCAATTCAGAGTCAATAGTTTTCACTGATTTTTGGGGGAGAATGTGGACATGCCCTGGATCCAAGGAGACTGAGTGCTGCATATCTCACTATGTCATCCACTGAGTTATGGGAATTGCAGGTGTGGCAAGTGCACGAACACTCGGAGTTAAAAACCTGAATCTATGTAAATGATTTTAGGCACTGCAATGCCTAACTGATTTAGGAACCCAAACCTCATTTTCAAAGGGGATTTAGACACTTAGGAGCAAAAATCCCATCAACTGTCAACAAGATTTGGCTCCTATGTGTAAATCCCTTTTGAAAATGAGATTTAGGCTCCTAAATCAGTTAGGCATTGCAAGACTGAGCCCAGCGATGCGGAAACACCTTTAAACATCTGGGCCCTAGTCTCTAGGGATACTCAACGGACCAGAGCCAATCTTCCTGCACCTGCTGCAGCACCAGATGCAGAATCAAGACCTCTTGTGGACACCCAACTTCCTCACCATGTTATTGCGTTAGCTCTCAGCATCCTCTGGGCCAAGCACTCCCCCATCCGGGGGAAGTTAGGAGCCAAAGAGACTATTCCAATGCCTTCTCTCCTCCATAGCACCAATCCTGCCTGCCCCCCCCATTTCCAAACAAGAGTTCTTGTACCTCCCCCAGCACGCCCTGCGACCCCAGAAGCAGTTCCTTCCCTTAACGCCCCGTGACACCAGGGGCAGCCCCTTCCCTTAACGGTTTCTGGCTTGAAGTTGTTCTCAGGAATGGGAAGCAGGTGCGGACAGGTAGAACGGGTTAGGATGGAAGAAAGAAGGGGGATTCCCCAATGATGAATGGAGTGCCAAATTTGGGACTTGGTCTACGTAAGCACTCTGACCCAATACTCCCGCCCTCCTCCAAATCTAAGGACCCGCCCCATGCCCAAGGAGTTAAGAATTAAGATGACAGCAGGACCAACTCCACAATCTAATGGGAGGGCATCATGCTGCCATGCAGGGGTTTGGAGGTCACGACTCGTATCTGTCTTTGTTCCCAGACTGATAGCACTACTGGGACATGCCAGAAGCAGTGGGCCCAATGCCTCTCTTTAGCAACCCCAACGCTCGAGTGGCCCAAACAGGCTTTACAAAGGGCCCAGTTATCCGCAGGGGGAAGGGTGGTCAGTCTGCTGCAGGGTAAGACTCTGGGAAGCCTGGCGGCTCAGGCGGAAGGGAGGCCCGAGATAAGCTGCGATAAGTATGCTGAACGTCTCGTCACTTACCCTTCAATAGCAGGAGACCTATCTGGACGTGAGCTGCCCCGGGATCTGTACCTCCGCGTCATGGGCAGCCGCGGGGGCCTGCTTGGTCCCCAGAGATCCGCATGTGCTTGATGGCCCCTTTCATTATCTCGGCTGTCTTGATCCAGCGAGCTGCTGCTCAGAAATGGTCTGAAGTCTGGGAATAACATTGTGTGGTCCAAGTGGTCCCAAAGCTGTTGAGAAGCCAACACACACACACACACACACACACACACACCACAAAGAGGCTGTTAGGGCAGGAAAGGAACATCTGCTTTACATACAGACCAAGAGGGATTGGGTGGGTCAAGGGATCAGTAGCAGTCACGGGACCCCTCTCCTCTTGATCGTTGGCTTGACGCTAACCTAGGTCGATAGAGACTGAAAGCTGTTACCACCTGATGGTGGCTCACGTTCGGTAGCCTATGGAATGAGCAGGGAGAGGAGGAGGTGAGGTTTCTTCTGTTCCAGCTGAGACAGGACCCAGAGGGGAAAATATCAGATGCTCGTAAATGCAGGGCTAAACAGCAGAGGAGCTGTGGTTTTCTAAAGGCCCTTTAAAAATAAACAGTATACCAGTGACAAGTACTAGTCTGACATCCCTGGAGATTGACAGTCTCCATTTATTCCCAGAGCAGCCACTGCACAGGCAGGACTAGTTCCCCCCCCCCCCCACAGCTCCCTGCCCTGTCAGTACCCCCGTAGCGATTAGAGACCCCATACAAGACCAGCTGCCGGACGCGGTACAGACACATAGTAAGTGCCAGGTGTTGTAAGCTCTTTGCAGCAATGCTGTCTACGCAGACAGACAAAGGTTGTCAGGAAAAAAGGCAGAGAGAAGGGAAGTGAATTGTCCAAGATCATATAGCAGGTCTGCAGAGTCCCAGTCCAGCGCTCTACCCACTAGATCATGCTGCCTATCTGATAAGTAATCAGGCACTGACTACACAGAAGGTACCAACCAGCAGAGGTCAGCAGTGGCCAGAAGCCATTGCTACCCAACAGGGGATATTCTGCATGTCAGCAGTCTGAAAATGCCGACCCCATGGACAAATAAAAGGCCTCCAACTGCACAGGCTATCCTGGGCTGCAGGCTACAGATTACCTCTGGATTCATGCCTCTGAAGCTGCAATCGCTGTGACAGAAAAATCCTCAGCGTGCTGCAAAATGGGGCAGCGGGGTTAGGCCAGGCCTGGAGAACCGGACAGAAGGAGACAGCAAGGTGCTATAACTGCGAAGTCGGTTAATTAAGAACTGCCTTTCGGGAAAGCTTTTTAAAACATCAGGCAGAGCAGGGTGTGGGGGGAGGAAACAAAGTCATCCTGAGAAAAGCAATTTAGCAAATTTAGATTGTTTGCCATGGTTCCCAGAAATCGTCTGGCAACCAGCTTAATTTAGCCCAAACTAATCAGGCGCATCACCCCCAATTAGACTAATTTGTTGATTCTTTCCTGGCAGATTTATGTGCCGCTATCAAAACGGACTACATGTTTGTTTTAGTAACTTAGATAGCATTCGTCATCCTTAGCCAGAATGGAGCTAAATGGAGTTCCCAAAGCACTGGGCTAGCGGGTGTCAGCATAGCCTAGCAGATAGAGCACTGGACTGGGACTCTGGAGACAGGGGTTTTAATCCTGGCTCTGCCATTGGCTCAGTGCATGACCTTGGGCAAGTCACTTTAACCTCTCTGAGTCTCAGTTTCCTTTCTTAAAGGGCTTTAAGAGCTATGGGGGAAAATAGGTAATAACATTACTGGTACCTCTGACAAAGAGGGGGTGAGGGAAGGAAGGAGCAGCTGAAAAAGATAAATGGAGTAGAAAAAGGCTAGGGGAGAACTAATCCAAGCAGAAAAGCCTTGCATCTAACCTTCAAATCAGCCGCAGAGTGACCGTGGGGGATGCACATAGGGAGATAACACCAGGCCATGAAAGTCTCATGTTCAGCCAGTTCCAGATGGAACCTTGGTGGCTCAAAGAGACGGAATGAACACGACCGCCTGGGACAGACTCAGAGAGATGGTCGCTCGTGTGTTCTTCCCAATCAGCTGGCAAAGGTCCAGGGAGAAAACAGCTGTTCTTTTTCCTTCCTGACCTTGCAGCAGAATATTTGGTAGCTGTTCTGCCAATAGTAGGGGAGAACTGCAATGCTTCCGCTCCCTTCACTGCCCTAGGTTTACTGACTGAATGCTAAACTAAACTAAAGCATTTTGCTTTAACACCAATGAAAAAAGTCTGGATGGGATGGGACGGGAGTGTGTGTGTGTGTGTGTGTGTGTTTCTGGTGGGTAGAGCAGAGGACAAAGAGATAAGCCTCCATCGCACCCTCTGCTCATTGTGTGTTCTTGGGAAAGCCACACCGCCCTCCCGTGCCTCTATTCCTCCATCTGTAAAATGGGGATTAAACCTCCCTCGCGGAGGGCGGTGAGAATCAGCAGGTGACTAATTAGCATTAGATCTGAAATCCTCCAACGAAAGGTTCCATAGAAACAGAAGAGCACGTTTTGCTCTTAGCTAGGATAATGAAGCAGCCACATTCTTGGAAACGGGCTGCTGAATTCAGACCGCGGACAACAGCTGTGGTGATAATGGCCAATAAGCAATAGTCTAGGTCAGACATGCGACGTATTTTGTAGGACCCACTGATACTTTCTGGGACAGTAGCCTGTTCATTCTGGGACAGTAGCCTGTTTATGGCCAGCTTTCTGGGACAGTAGCCTGTTCATTCTGCAACAGGTTAGCTGGCTCATTAAGCGAAACTGGGCTTAGCTCTCCTGATCTGGTCCAGGAGCTCCCTTTTGGGCCCACTGAGAGGGTGGGGCAGCACCTGGAAGGCTACAAAAGGTCACTGAGAAGTCAGAATAGGGGAATCAGGCAGGGGAGGAGAGCTGCTGGAGAGATGGTGGTTCCTGGGAGAAAGCTGAGACAAGAGAGCAGCACACAGGGTTTGCTGGCTGCTGTCCCCAAGCCAGAGGAAGCAGCTGAGGGAGATGCCTGCTGGCTCTACACCAGAGCCAAGGCGCAGAGAGGGCGAAAGGCAGGGGGAGCGGCTTATCTGCTGACATCTCCTTGCTGGAGAGCTAGACCCTGAGGAAGGGAGAGTGGGCTGGGGGAGCAAGGGATGCTCCTAACGAAGAGGCTGGGGGAGTTCCTGCTGGGAAGAGCAGGGTTGCACCCCAAAAGGATGGGCAGGGTTTCTGTCCAGGGAGAGGGAAAGAAGGACAGATAAATAACCTAGCTGTGATGGAAGATGCTGGGGTATGATAAGAACAAGGATTATATGCACTGGGGTGATACAGACTATAATTTTGGGACATTTGTTACAGACTATTTGCACAAGCATTTTGTAATAAACACCATCCCTGTTGGGGGCCAGTTTAAGTAAGAGCCTGAAGTGGACTCCTTTGAGTTACCCAAGAAGGAAACTGAGGCAAGAAGCCACTTGCAGGGGTGCCCAGGAGGGGACCCACTCATTTATACCACCACCAGCGCATGCTCCATTCATTCATGCACCTGCTGCTTTTGCTGTCAAAACCCACCTGTTCCTTTACTAAATTGAACAGCTGTCAGTTCCGTGACAACCCCCCTAAAGTAAGCGGAGACGCTCAGCTCAGGTGTGCAATTTGCCTAGGACATGAGCTTTCGGGGTAGTTGATGAAATTATGCAGCGCAATTGGCTAGATTTTCTTGCCTTTTCCACCCACTTGCAGGAAAGAAGTGGGGTGTATAGAGAGTCACGAAACAAGGGAATCTCCCCGTTCTTCTCTCCTGGACCTCTGAAGGCATCGTTCAGAACTGAAAGTGCTAACTTGCAATCTTAGGTTGCAAAACCAGTTTTGTTTTATTGCATTTTGAGAAAGCCTCTTTGTGATTAAACAAGGCGGTGGTTCAAAATAGCTCAGTTAGTAGCAACTGATGCTATGTTACTATAAGGGTACAGAAGGTTTTATAAGATTTTTATGAAAGATTTCAGAATGTGTAAGCAAGCAAGCAATGTCAGACAACAGAGCTACCGGTGTGAAGCAGGAGCAGTTGGCATTTACACTGGATATATCAGTGTCAGGTGATCTAGACACATGACATTAGAAACAGCTGCATCACAAGAATCAGATATGTTCTATAGTATCGTAAAACGGAAATAGAATAATCTCAACATATTTACTATCCACATTTTACTGACACCTCATGAGCCTGGGGTATGTGAGCTGCAGCTTTATTTTGTGTATCTAAGTAGCTCAGTTTACAAGATCTTTATGACTATTAGTTCAACACAGCATCAGAGGACAGAAGGGAAGGAGAAGAAGAAAAAAAATAAAATCGAGATTATGATCTGCTTTGTGATTCACCAAACACACGCCCCTGAATCAGAACTGAGCTGGAACTTTTGTTGAACACAATGCAGCTACGCTCGCCTGCAACGCCGCCAAGAGCAAAAGCTCATTATTAATACTTATTTTAATATGTACATAGCGTCTTTCATCATGAACATCCCAAAGCTCTTTGCGAACTGTCACACAAAATACAAGCAAAGGTCACTTCATTTCGGGAGTAGACCACGGCAGTTGAATAGCACACAGCAACAGTTTAATTGAGATGAATACTATACCTAGCTGAAACTGCAGAGGGGAATTAAGGCCATGTGCACACGAGCAAGCTTACAGTGACACAGCTCTACCGATGCAGCCGTGCCGCTGTAAGATCACTCGTGTAGGTGCTCTATGCCAGCGGGCAAGAGCTCTCCCGCCGACATAATTAAACCACCTCCAACGAGTGGTGGTAGCTGTGTCGACAGGAGCAGGTCTCCCGCTGACATAGCGCTGTTCACACTGGTGCCTCTGTTGGCGTAACTTACGTCACTCAGAGGGGTGTTTTTTCACACCCTTGAGCGACATATGTTATACTGACAAACGTGGTCATGTAGACATAGCCTCAGATATGCAGATTGTAATTGATTGTAAAATGATTAAGGGCATGGAACAGTTTCCATATGAGGAGAAATTAAAAAAAGTCTGGACCGTTCATCTTAGAAAAGAGACGACTGGGGGGACATGGAGGCCTATAAAATCATGACGGGTGTGGAGAAAAACCAACAAGGAAGTGTTCTTTACCCCTTCACATAACACAAGCACCTGGCGTCATCCCATAAATTAATGGGCAGCAGATTTAAAACAAACAAAAGGAAGAAGTACTTCACAAAATGTACAGTCAGTCAATCTGTGGAACTCATTGCCAAGGGATGCTGTGAAGGCTAAAACCATAACAGGGTTCAAAAAATAATTAGATAAGTTGATGGAGAATAGATCCATCAATGGCTATTAGCCAAGATGGCCAGGGATGCAACCCCATGCTTTGGGTGTCCTTAAACATCTGACTGCCAGATGCTGGGACCGGACGACAGGAGACGGATCACTTGCTTACTGCCCTGTTCTGTTTATTCCCTCCAAAGCACCTGACACTGGCCACTGTCGGAAGACAGGATACTGGACTAGATGGATCATTGGTCTGACTCAGTACAGCCCTTCTTATTTTTTTAATCTTCTTATGTCTCCAAATACTCTCGCCAGCAAGAGACGACTGGACAAGGCCACTTTTGGGTCCCACTTTTGGGTCCCAATGCTGTTCTTTGCTACATGTAGGGGAAAGAAGGGAATTGCTGTAGATGCATCCTAGATCAGGGGTGGGCAAAGTTTTTGGCCTGAGGGCCACATCAGGGTTCTGAAACTTTATGGAGGGCTGGGTAGGAAAGGTTCTGCCTTCCCAAACAGCCTGGTCCCCACCCCCCTACCACTTCCCACCTCCTGACTGCCCCCCTCAGAACTCCTGACCCATCCAACCTCCCCTGCTCCTTGTCCTCTGGCCCCTGACAGGCCCACCTGGGACTCCCATGCCTATCCAACCCTCCCTGTTCTTCCCCCCCCAAACTCTTCCCCACAACCTCTGCCCCATCCAACAGCCCCCTGGGATCCCCTGCCCCTTATCCAACCCCCCCGCTCCCCACCTCCTTACCTTGCCACTCAGAGCACCAGGACTGGCAGCCACACCGCCTGGCCAGAGCCAGCTACACTGCCACGCAGTCTAGAGCACCAGGACAGGCCGGTGGCTCTCGTAGCCATGCTGCCCGGCAAGAGCTCGCAGCCCCATCACCTGGCGGCATGGCGAGCTGAAGCTGCAGGGGAGCGGCTGGGGGCTAGCCTCCCCAGCCAGGAGCTCCAGGGCTGGGCAGGAGGGTCCCATGGGCTGGATGTGGCCCATGGGCCGAAGTTTGCCCACCTCTGCCCTGGATCATGCCTCCTTCACTCCCGCTGCATCTGCTGCTCCTTGCACAATTATTTGCTTTGAGCTTTTGTCCTGCCATGCTCCGTGCTTGGAACTGCTCTGTTCGCATGCGCCAAGCCATCAACTTCAAAGCCCTCCTCAAAACCCACCATGTTCATGAAGTCTCCTATAGAGATCTCCTTAAAGATTACAGGTGAAATCCTGGCCCAGCTGTAGTCAATGGCAAAACTCCCATGTACTGAAATGGGACCAAGATTTCACCCAAGCTCACGCTCTACCTTCTTGTTGTATTTGTCTGAGATGAGAGTCTCTTTGGGCAGGGATTCCATCTGTTCTGTAAAGGAGTGTGCCTCTACCCAACAAACCAAAAAAAAGCTCTCATCTAGACAACACATTCAGGGTTTGAGACTGCTATCTGCTGGAAAGCAAATAAGTCAGTCACACATCAATCTCCTCTTATGAGTGTGTTCCTAGACACGCTTTCAAGAATGTCATTCCCTGAATAGCAATTTTTTTGAATGAAAATTTACACAATCCAAAATGGATTTTCTGCTCAGCTAAAGGTTTAAAAAAAAAACCCACCCTTTTTTTAAAAAGCCTGCATTAAAAGCAAACTCACCTCTGCAAACTGTGTGGATGGACTGTCGTCTATTCCACTGCCACTACCATCTAGAAAACTGAGGAGAAAACAGACTAGTCAGCGCAGGTTGTTGCTTTCAAAAATAAGCTCCCCCTTCTGGGGGTTAAATATAGACTGAAGCCAGTGTGAGCCAGACTCTCAATAAGGAACAAGACAAGGCTCCCATGTAGGCAAAAAAGGATGATCAAATGTGGTATGTGACTTACTTTGTGGAAGGAATTAATCTATATATAAAACACAGTGTCACCCCAGAGGGGAAACGCAGGTAAAGCCGATGAGCCTGCTGAAAGAATAAAGTGACTCTACAGCACACCGATTTAGGGTTCCCTTGTATGGAAAAAATATGCAAGTTGTTTTACAGAGGCTCCACTTTGGAGGAAGCGTAGCAGCAGCCAGTTCACAAGAGAGTCACTGAACACCAGTATAAACACATTTCCCTCAGGCACTAGATTAGCATTTGTGCTTCACTGTAGCCGTTCAGAGCAGTTCACTGGTTTATCTTGGATATCTGGCACTTTGTCCCCTCCCATAAAACTCCCCTCACCCCATCTACTAAACTGAAACTGAAAGCTTCCTGTGCCTAGCACTGCAACACAAACCATGTCATTTTGCAGAGTTTGTTCAGGGAAGGGTGCTCACAACACTGAAAGGGCTACTCTGTTCCAAGGCAAACATTCCTAACCACAGAGCCAAGCAAAAAACATTGGGCTTCATGTAATTACATTTTCATGTTCCTTGGTTAACTGCTAGGAATATCTGTGTTCAAAAGGGACAGTGATTCACACCTTTCCAGTGAAACATGTTTCAAGGCTTTCCTGCTTTGGGAGCCCTAAAATATCAGACTTTAACATTGTTACCACTCCCACTCCAAATAGCACAACTTTCTCAGCAGTGGCTCAGGCCTGAATATGTAAGTGCCAGACTAGCATATTTTTCAGTCCCTAGTTGTCTGTAGGCAGCGTGTTCCACTGGATAAAGAACTGGACTGTGAATCAATAGAGCTGGCTTCTATTTCTGGCTTTGCTACCAAATCACTGTGACCTCTTGGGCACAGTCTCTCAATTTCCTCTTTCATAAGACGCTGAGATCAATGGATGAAAACTGCTAATTGTATTTAAATCCTAACACCTAGCACATTAGAAGGAGCAGAGCGTCAGGACACATAGCCTGCTTTATGCAATCAGAGGAAAGGTGGAGTCTTGTTCAAACATGATTACTCAGCCACGTAAAATCAACTAACACACAATATAAAGTTCTGCACATCTCCAAAGAGCTCACCAATACAAAACATCTTTGAAATAGGCACCACATAATGAGTTAAGCCATCATTACTATTAAGTGGAATATTAAATCAAGCCATATTATATAGTACTAGACCAAGATTTTGCTCCACCTAAAACCTGGTCAGGATTTGTGCTGCAAATCAACGTTCCATCTCACCTACATTTTTGCCAGAAGAGTGCTAAATTAGTACATAGCGATGCTAGCCCCCGACCACCAAATTAGTTTCCATTAATAAAACAGCAGCAGCTCTATAGTGCTCAAATATTAATCATTCCCAACAATCCCATTACATACTATCCCCATTTAAAAGTTTGAGAACTTGAAGCAGAGGCACGAGGAGACTTTCTTGAGGCCACAAAGGGAGTCTGTGTCAAAGCAACGCACTCGAGTTCTAATCCTGATCCATACTTAAACAGTTACTCTTAATTATAGCAGCCCATAAGAAGGAAGTATTAGTGCAGGAAAATTTATAGCATTAATATGGCTTCTGCTGAGCTTTGCTACTAGAGAGGAGGGATGGTCTAGCGGTTAGGGAGCTAGCTGGAAGACCAGGGTTCAACCTCCTCTTCCGGCACAGACTCCCTGTTTGTGGCCTGAGCAAGTCACTTAGGTCTAATCCCTAGCCCTAACCCACAGCGTAGACACTACTAGGTAGATGGAAGAATTTTTCCATTGAACCTACAGTCCATCTCTCCGAGAGGTGGTATAACTACACTGATGGAAAAACCCCTTCCATTGAAGCAGGAAGCGTCTACACAACAGTGACACAGGAGCACAGCTGCAGCACTGTAGCTGTGATGTGCTAGTGTAGACATGCCCTTAGTGTCTGTGTCTCAGTTCCCTGTCTGTAATGTGGAAATAACAGCACTGCCCCACTTCACAGGGGGTTGGGAGGATATATAACTTTAAAGAATAAGAGGTGCTCAGACACTACAGTAATTAAAGTACCTTAAATGGAGAGAAAAGGTACTCTTAACCTTCATACCTGCAACCACAAAGGTTTCAATCTCTTCTCAGTGAACTTGCCTAACTAGCATTAACAATTATATCCCCAAATCCATAAGAACACTCATCTACCACAGTGGTTCTCAACCTGTGGACTCCTGGGGGTCTGCAGACCATGTCTAAGATTTCCAAAAGGGTCCGCACCTCCATTCAAATTTTTGTGTAGGCGTCCGCAAATGAAAAAAGGTTGAGAACCACGGATCTACTGGACACAAGCACAGACTAACCTCACAACTTCCACTACTTTATTAAGGGTCTTCCTTGAAGTTCTCCTTGTCAATATCATTCCAGTGTCACAATAACGTTTGTTTTACTCTGTGTTAATAAGTGTTCTATAATTGTCACTGCTATCAGTTGACATAAATAGGTCCTGTTTTAATTTTGCATCCATTTTCCCTTATTTTATGTACAGCCTTTAAATGCCTTGCAATACACCACTTACAAACTGATTACAAATATATATTAGCAATTGACCTCACACATTCATGAGTATGTACAATACCTGGAATCATCTGTCACTTCTTCAATAAAGCCAGATTCACATCTGGGGCAAATGTACTCCTACGAAGAGAGAAAAGGGAAATCTTTAGCCACATTATGCTCAGTTTGCAGATGCAGGCAGGAAATACAGTGCCCAAGGTGAAGCTCAGAGAGACAGAGTGTGTGATTCTGAATTTTTGTTTCCCCCGCAATAAAAATATAGACTTTGCACCTTCGTGCCATCTTTTATCAGAAGATCTCAAAGCACTTTAAAAAGGGTGGGTATTATTCCCCGTTTTATAACTGAGGGTCCGAGAGGTGCCTTCCCCAAGGTCACACAAGATCAGTGGCAAATTGGAAAAATAAAACCCTCTGTTTCCTGACTCCCAACCCCTTGCTCTAACCAGTAGACCATGCTACCTCCTTTCAGTTTAGGCTTGACATTCTTGAAGTCCTTTATATTTGTGAAAGCAGCTCCCAGCTGAGATCAGGGGGAAAAAACCCAACAGTTAAAGAGATTCTACATCCATATCACTTCACACTGTATACTATTAGAACAGGAAGAATTGGAAGGAGCTAGACTGATTGTCCTTATTTGTTTAGGATCTTTGGTTGTGTCACTTATGTGATCCATTTTATTCATCCATCAAGTGAATAGACTATCTAAGTCACAAAGGTGCTATGATTTGGTGTAAAATGCTTAGTCTCAGATTAATCGACATTAGGGAAGGGCAAAGTAGATTATAATAAACTATCAGTTGGAGATGTTCACTGGGGTAGTTTAACTGGAAAGCAGAATTTCTGCTTCTTACAGAGCAATTCCACAGCTCAGCATTGGTATCTCAGTGGTGTCTGGATGTTCTGCCACAACCCGCCTGAACATGGTCTTTATCTATCAGCAGCAAACCAGCCTGGATAACTCCATTTAAGAAGAGTGCCCTTTAGAAGCCTACCGAGAAGCGCTGGGAACTTTGTTAACAGGCCTCGGGTGAAGATGACTTCAACTGCCAATTGACAGCGATGGTGACAGAGAAAAGGCCACTTCAGTTAAAGAGGTGCCAGAAAGCAGCTATTTCAAACGCAGCTCTGCCGCTGTGCTGGCCCTCCTGTAGCGAGCACTGCAGGAAAGACAGCCCTTGCTAGGAATTTACAGGCTAGTCACTCTGTAATTATCAAAGTCAGAGCATAAACAGCTTTGTCATCTCTTTTTAAAGCCACTTTCATAGAAGGAGATAAGAGGAATGAGCTGGATTCACTCAGTCCACCAACCAGATACCAGCTCTGCCTGGTATTCTGTTTTCTCACCGACTACGCTGTCCCTTTACAAGCCTGAATTATTTGGGCTGGGAATTTTTTAAATGCACTGCCTCATGTCTGTCTCCTGCTGCATGTTGCCCTGCCCCCTTACCTGAATGACCACACAGACCTACACTCCTTTAAACCCCCAAAATATTAACCCTGGGGCTCATGCCTCCACCTTTCCTACTACAAGCTCAACCATGACATCATCCTTCTCAGTGCTCTGTATGCAAGGCAGGAAGCAGCAGGACCAGAAGCACATAGCTCCTGGATGTCACCATCTATGCAAGAGCCAGGGGTGGGTGTTCCAGTGGTGCAGCTGCAAAACTTTCAAGAATTTGGGAATCTAGAGGTTCCCCAGTCATATGAATTTAGGCAAACACCCTGCTAAAGACATCAATGTAAAGTTAATGGATGCATCCATTATAGGAAAGAGATTTTAAAAAGCAGGTTTTAGTCCATGTGCTGGAAGAAATAGGAGCTCAACTTATTTCATTTATACAGGTGGCTGGAGTTCCTCTAATGACTGGGTATTTGTGCTCCCATTTTGGGAGCCCTGGGGAGAGTGCATGATCTAAAGGAAAGGATGTTCCTGCGATTAAAGCATGCAAATGAGAGGCAAATCTAGGTTCCCAGCTGTGCCATGCATGGGCTTGAGAGATTTTGAGCAAAACATTTCCATTCCCTGGGCATCAGTATCCCCACCTGTAAAATGGAGACAATACTGCCCCCTATTTCTCTGGGGTGGGGAGGTTATGAGGTTTAATTCATTAATGTTTGTAAAGCTCTTTGAGATCCTTGCATGGAGCCTTCAGAAAGGTAAAGGCTGGCCTAAAAAATTAAGGGGGCAAAAGGAGTCAGGGGCCTAATTTCCACTGACTTTCAACCTTAGGCCACTTTGAAAATACTCCCGCAACTGATGAAAAATCCCTCAGCCACAATGATTTTCCATGACTTTCTGCCTCAAGTTATGCTTGATCATGGACCCAGTCCTGCAAACCTTCCCTTCAACTGACACGAGAGCTGTCACTAAGCACCGCTCGGTGTCCACCCTCCATTTCCCGAGCGAGAGGCTAGCAAAAACAACAAATACGCTCCAATGCCAGTTGCCTGTATCTGGACCCCTCATCACACGGGCGTCAGGGAAGGGTATGGCAGTGACAACACATGTTGCCTTGGCGGATACCCTCCTGCTGTCTGTATAGACCCATGCCCACCCTGCTGGACCTTTCTGAAGCATCTGACACTGCCGATCACCAAATACTCCCATCCTGCCTGCAGGGGTGAATAAAGATGTCTCAAAATGGTTCTCTGACCAAACCCACCAGCTCATTATGGGAAAGTGTTTCTCCACTTCCACCGTCACGATCGGTAGACTTCTGTACTCTTCCCCCATCTTATCCAGCAGCCATGCAAAGCCGTCAGGAAAGCTTGTAGACACCACAGGCTGCAAAGCATCCCCAGCTCTGCATCCCCTTTACATCAACATACAGAGCACTTTCTCAGCTTTCGCAATACCCAGCTGAAGATCAGCAATGAGGAACTTCCGGGGGGGGGGGGACCCAGGCAAGACTCTGGTGATGGTAGCATGGAAAGCAAAGTGATTGGAAAAACCTGCCTCCTCTATAAAGAACCTCACTTCCATTGATGGCATCTGCCCTGAGAACGTGAAGACACCTGCTATCATCTGTGACAAGCTAGGAGATCACACTCTATACCAACACACGGGGCAATCCATGCATTTGTGAATAGAAAGTAAACGTAATGAGGATCTGGCCCACAAGATGCCAACTGGTAAATCAGCGCAGCTCCCTAGCAATGTCGATTTATACAACAGCTGAGGATCTGGTCCCTTAAGCCCAACACTTTAAAAAAATGCAGAGGTCGGCAAATAGAAGCAATCTGTCAATGCTAATACAATGCGATCTTTCAGATATTTCATTGACACTACATACAACAATGCCCCCTAACATACACAGCCTCCACCAAACGCTGACTTCCTCAAATATCAGTATACATTAAGGCCCATTATATGCATGGTCTGAAAACCTTGTGCAAGCGGTTGTACTTTGATATTCATCTTCAATCTGAAACCCCCTTGGAAACATACCCAGACTCTGTTTGCGATGTCAGATACTGAGGGTGGGGGAAAACCTGCTGCATGTCAGGACAAGGGACAGGAAGTTCTGAAACAGTTTAATATGATAAATTATACTCCAAGAGGGCTCTCAGACAGTCTAAACGCAGATCACGCTGCAATTTGAGACTCTATAAGAACATCAGTCGGATTTGATGGACGAAGGCTTGTCACAATATCACAGTCTAGCCTCTTGGCTGAGGCATGCCACTGTACATGAACCAGGACTGACATTTTGGCCCTGATCCTGAAAGCTGTCCGATGCAAGTGTATCCCTTCGCCCTCGCTCTCTCACAGGGGCAAGACTCCACTTCATGAAGAACAACTATCTCCATCGGTGTCTCTTTACAAATCAATCCATTCTATTTCAATGGCATTAGAACAGACTTTTTAAAAAAAAAAAAAAAAAAACCCACCACACGTATTTAAGTACTGTTCTGTAAAGAGAATTGAGCACTTGTGACGTGTGCTGGATTGACAGCCTCAGAGACAGACAGAGAGATTCCAACGCAGACAGCAGCTTCCCCTATGCTGACCTAAGTCCCACATTTGACATGGTAGGAGCCTCCTCTAGAGACAAGATCAGGTTTCCAGTTCTTAGCCTCTCCTTGAAGACTGCCAATTAGGGATGGGATTTTCAAGGCTTAAGGGAGTCAGGCGCCCAGCTTCTGTTGATGGTCAAGGAAAGCTAAGCATCTAAGTCGTTAGACCCCTTTAAATATCCCAGCCTTGGGTGCCAATTTGTGCCAGCGTTTTTTGTCCTTTATACATTTAGTGGTCATAGTCCAGGATTCTACTTTCCAAGTTTACCCCAGATGGGCTAAGGAACAACCTTTGAATGTTTTCTAAATTTTAAAACTCACTTTAACAAATTTCAGAGTAGCAGCCGTGTTAGTCTGTATTCGCAAAAAGAAAAGGAGGACTCGTGGCACCTTAGAGACTAACAAATTTATTCGAGCATAAGCTTTAGCTGTAGCTCATGAAAGCTTATGCTCAAATAAATTTGTTAGTCTCTAAGGTGCCACGAGTCCTCCTTTTCTTTTTAAATAACAAAGAGCATTTCAACTTTGTGGCAAAACCTGGCTCCCGTGAGGGAAAGCTAATAAGCTGCTCACCCTGAGGAAAAACAGGCAGTGACCTCATAAAACAGCCTAAGTTACTGTTTATCCCTTAAATGACAGGGGGTAAAAATTTGGCTGCAAGCTTAAACATTCTGGGATCTGCTTTTACACTAGAGTTGTGGGGAATGCCTTTCTCCCAGTCCCCATCAGAATACTGATGGGAGAACGGAAAGCATTTAAGTGATTCCCCCTACCAATTCCTGGTCTTAAAAAGCTTATTTAGAAAGTGGCCTAGTTCTGCTCCAGCATCATAAGTCTGCTTCAATTTGTGGCAGACATCACCAAAAACCATGCAGTCTCTGAAGATTATTGTTCCTCTGCCCCCACCACGCTGAAGAGTGATTTAATAAGGAACATTCCCAGGACTCAGGAATAGAATTTCAAGCTTGAATTTGGCAGCATACAGTCATCCATATTCTTGAGCTCCATGTGTATTCAGGTAGATATGAAACAGGTCAAGGAAACGATCAAGTTACTTTACATCTCACTAGTGGTTTCATGGAACTAGTTTAGCCATAAGCAAC